TCTGTGTGTACTTCCTGTATTTCTGTGTGTACCTCCTGTATATCTGTTTGTACTTCCTGTACATTTGTGTTTACTTCATGTATATCTGTGTGTACTTCCTGTATATATGTGTACTTCCTGTATATCTGTGCAGCTTGTCCTGAAAATCAGTCCTTGCCAGTAAAAACCAGTTAAAAATCTTCTGTCGTCGAGTGTGGCTCCTTTTGAGTGAGTCAGATAGCGCGAGAACATTTTTCTCCAGCACTTTAAATAAATATAATTTAGTATGACGTCTTTAGACAGTTCAGACATCATCAGTGGACAACTAATCAATCAAAAGATTGATCTATTTTTCCCTGATAGCTAAATATGTGACTCTACATGAATGTTAATATCATTAATAATCTTGGCAGTGGTCATATTAGCCTACGCACATTCACGCATTTTTGCAGTTTAACACACAAACACCACACTCCAGTGAAGAAATGCGAATGCTCCCTGGACAAGAAGTGAAACATCTGTAACTACAGAATAGAAGTTTAGAAACAGCTGTGGGTGAACAGATCTTAATGATCTTAAGTTATGAAGAAAACAGGCCAAAACATTTAACTTAAATTCCTTCATCACATGTTTCAGGTTACTTCTGGTACCCGTGGATCTGCAAAATGTGGATGATGGGCTCTTCATATTCATGTGCAAATGACACAGTGAGAAAATAAAAGATTATTTTATAAAATAAAACTTACAATCCCCCTCTGAATGTTGTAAAACCGTCTGCGACAAGTAAAGATTTTGTGGAAACAGTGGCATTACATCTTACTTTGCTCATGCCCACTATTGTTTTGTATTTGCAGCATTTTCCCACAACAACTGGTGCACATTTTAGGTTTTTATGATTGTTTAAGTTTGATCTGACATTGTGTGATAAAAGGTTAATGTAACAGAGAAGAAAGGTTAACAATGGCAAATACTCCAAGTTGTTTTGGGAGAATTACTTGATGTGTTGCTAATATCAACATTGTCGCCACCTAGTGGCCAGTCCTGAGCACTTCAGTGTTTTTGTTCAAATGTATTATTTTCATTCAAATGAAGATATGATTTATAAACTAAGAAAAATAATCCAGATTTGTGTTGTCAGGGTCCAAGACATCAAATGATTTCTGCACCTGACAATCTGGTGGATGAAGTGGTCAGGGTCCTGGGCAACGAACACCGTCAGAGTGGTCCCTGCCGGTACGCCCTCCTCGAAACGGATCATCTTTGGGTTGACAGGGAAGACGGGCGGCTCGTTCACGTCCTGAACAGAGATGGTGACTCCTGCTGTGGACTGAAGGGAGGACTGAATGCCGCTCGCCAGATGAGCCTGGTTGGACACCACCACAGTCAGCATGAAGGCTCGATTCATCTCAAAGTCCACCGGCTGGAGAAGGAAACCACACGGCGAGGGAGTTTGGATACAGAAAGCAAAAATAATAAGAGAGAGCAGGAAAAAGAGCACAGCTGATTTCTAAATGAGTGTCTTCTGAGCTGCAGATCCAAAATCAATACAATTCTATTAAATTTTCAACTATCAAGCTCTTGCTAATCGAAGCTGATGGAAACATAATTTGCACTAATTGATAATGAACAGACGTGTGCCTACATGTTGAAGGCGTTTGTTAATCTATCAGGACCATGCCGCTTCTTCTCTACCTTAACAACTGTCAGCATGCCCTCGTTAGTGATGGGGTTGGTGCGGATGGTGAAGTGATTAGAAGGGTCTCCGCTGACGATGCGATAGACGGCGTTCCAGTTGGGGCTGTGGGGCTGATCTCTGTCCACCACTGTCAGGTTGGTGACCACCACGTTCACCTTGTTCTCCGGAACCTCCCCGGAAAACTGCACAGAAGGCAGAGAAGAGGAAGAGCTAGTGAGAGCACGCAGAGAAAACATTAGGATGATGCCAGTTACTGCATGTTAATCACTCGATTTGCAGGATTGTTTCTGTCTTTTGGATTTTGCATAATTGGCGTCATGAAAACAAAAGGGTCATGATGATGATGCTAATTTAGGCTGAAGCACAAACCTAAAGTGGTGGCACTAAAGATGGATTAGAAAGATGCAGGAAGGAGAGGAAAATGGCGTTTTATTCAAATATGAAATAACAGAAAATCACATCTTCCATTATGCAAATAGAGTCCTTTATTCCACAAAATATCTGCTCATATCAACTCTTCATTTGAACAAATGGACTTTTCTATTAAGTGTTTACCCATTTCATTTAGAATTTGCGCATTATCCAAATCCAGGTCCCTAATAACTAATTAGAAAAGTGCTGCGATTAAGGCAGCAGTAGGAATAATTTGCCTAATGATCTTCATTATATTGCAGTCTAAAACAAGTCTCCTATAAACAAACTCTGGAGGAAACTTGGTGACAGATGCAGAGCCTGAAGACGCATTTACACACATTTATTGTGCATTTTCCAGTAGTTTTGGGCAATTATTAAACCTTACACTCAGCTCAACGATAAAGAGTTTTTATACTGGATTTGCAAAGCTCAGTTTTATAAGCAAATATTAAATTTTAAACATAAGCAGAAATATTGAAATTTGTTTTTGTTGATATTTTCATCAATTTTTTATCTACATACTGACAAACACATTCTCTTGCATCCATCACGAGGCGCTGCAGCACCTGCTGCACCCCTACTTCCCCCAGCCTTGTTTGTGTTTCTCAGTACAATAGTCCCTAGCTACTTAGCTGTTTGTTTATCACGGATTTGCTCTATCGCGGTTTTTCAAAATAAAATTGGACAGGACACACAATTGGCTGATGGATGGATGAGCCGCACTATCGGCGTGAAATTTTTATTTAAAATAAATTATTTTAAATTGTTTAGCGCCTCCTGCAGTTTTGTGCATCCCATACTGCAGAATAAACTTCCTGCTGCCGTTAAACAGCTGATCAAATGTTCAGTGTGCAGAGCGGAGAAGTGGGTGTGGCCAAGAGCGCTTGCAGGTGGCAAAGAGCAGAGGAGGCAGGGAGCTGAAGTCATGACATTCTGTGCTCCTTTAGAGCGTTTAGTGTTTAGAAACATTGTTTAGAATATTACAGGAGTGTGGGAAGGGTTTAAAACACCTA